CCTAAGCAAACATTCAGGGTCAAGAAGCGCCTACATGTGGTCAAGGACACCCTCACAAACAGCTGGCTATCGTGCAAAGATAAGGCGGCATCAACAGGAAAACCTCCTTGCGGCTTTTACTGCCCCGCGTCATAATCAGCCACTACTCCACATATAACTCAGCGCCAAACACGCTTGAAACAGGCAGTTCGACTAGCAGACGGTAGCAGTCGCGCTACTGGTGTCGACTGCGACTCATGTCGTGTAGTCTCGAGCGAGTCATGTGGACTCCAGCCAGACAGACCAACAGCACCATGTATAGTCGTCAGTGATTCTAGTATCTGCTGCCAAGTCTATTGTTGTCTATCTCAAGTCTTGCGCCACCCTATACCTGGCAATTGAAACAAAGCCGTCTTCACTAAGTGGTGACCAGGCATACGTAGTACGGGCCCAAACACAATGTATTCAGTGCTATGTGTAGTTCTATGAAACTAGCTCAAGTTTCACCGCCTAGAAACCACTTACACACATCAGTATTGAGGACACACTGGTGCCATCCGACACCGGCAATGCTCCGCAGACAGCAACGATCAGATTTCAAGGCGGCTCAGATGTTCAGACGTCGGCCCGTAGCCTAGAAGTAACGAGCTTACTTCGTAATCTTGCGTCGTAATTCGAGCCTGCGTAGGGGCAGGGCAACCCCCGCAGTATCCTTAGCCCGCATGAGACCGGTAATGGTTGCGGGGCAGTGAAGTGCCGGTACGCAATACCGGCGTATTACTGACGCCTTTTTTTTAGATCTTCAGACCTAAGGGGCCAGGTCTCACTCCCATAGAGTAGGACGGCTCACTGTAGCCATGCAAACACAGCCTTCCAAACAAAGGGAAAAACATTTCTATCGCCGAAGATGGAAATCCAAGAAGAGTTTTGACTTCATCAATACGTGAAATGACTTTAGTGGTTATGCGTCATCATTGCTGACGCAACTGCCGAGGTAAGTGAAGTGATCAACTACCTCAAGTACGTTGCTGTCAAGGGTCAAGGAACCATCAAGTGGCTAGTGGTCTTACAACACTGCACTTTGAAGGTGCGAAGCGCATAACAAATAATAGAACCAGTGTAGACAGGTTATACAGATTTCATTGGGCCGTCACAGCATCAAAAAGCAAGATGATATCGTCCGCAAAATCAAGATAAACTAACATTTCACCAGGAAGCACCTCAATGCTGCATCGTGAGATTCCGCAACGAAACACTCCATGAGAGAATAAACGAAACTAAAGAAAAATGGGGAAATCGGACAAAGCTGACGAACGCCACATGTGGTAGGAAAGCTATTCGACAGGTCACCGTAGACCCTGAAGCGGCCTGTAGTTTTCGAGTAAAGAGCACTAAGATGCGCATATATTTCGTGGGAACACATTTTCGCAAAAATATTCCGAACAGAATGCATCGACCGACTGAATCGAAAGCACCTTGAAATCGAGACACAGTTATTGTCGGTATGTGGTATGCGTATCGCCGCTCTAGAACCAGCCGCAGAGTGAATATATGGTTTATACAGACACGTGCTAGGGGGAAACCTGCCTGTTCTTCCTCACTCCGAGATACCCGCTCCACAGTAAGACGACAAATAAGAATAGAGACAAGTAATTTGGTCACTACGGGCGTTAAGCTAATAGCTCTGTGGTTAGCACAATCTGTGCGACTGCCCTTCTTGTATATTGCCACTATAATCGATTCACTCCAGTTAACCGGGACACTTCTCCTCAGACATGTTTGAATAGGGAGGTCAGTACTTTGCAGAGGACCTCATCTCCACCTTCACATAGTGCAAGTGTAAGGGAATCTGGATCAGCGGCACAAAAACGATGGAGGGCTGTGATCGCGTTTCAGTTTTCAGCCTCCGTCGGAGGCTGAAAACTAACCGTCCATGGCTCCTGTATCACCTGGGAAGGAAGAGGTCCGGCAAGAGGTGTCCGGAGGCATCACCCAGTATAGCTCAATGGTCATTGAGGTACGCAAACCGTCGCACCACGTCAAGGCCCAGTCTGGTTGATCATTTCACTTATCTTGGCAGCTGCATCAGCAATGATAGGCGCATAGAAACTGACGTCTGCTCTCGCGTTGTAAAGGCCGGAGCTGCCTCCTTGAACCTACGGCATCTTTGGCGATAGAAGGGAGTTTCCCTCCGTCTGAAAGGCCGTGTATACAAGGTCACAGTGAAAACCGTTCTGCTCTATGGTAGTGAGACTTCGTCCCTTCGGTCTGAAGATCTGAGGCGCATTCAAGCCTTTCATCATCGCTGTCTGCGAAGCATTGCTGGAGTCGGATGGCACCAGCATGTCCGCAACGATGATGTGGGTAGGCGAGTACTAGGTAGTGATAATCATGCTAGCTCCCTAGAACAACAGATAGCACTGAATAAGTTGCCTTGGCTCAAACACGGGCTACGTATGCCTGGTTACCGCGTACCTAGGAGAGCCTTGTTTAGTCTGCCAGGTGAAGGGTGGCGAAATGCTCGAGGTGGACAGAAGTTGATTTTCCAGCTGGAAATGAAGTCACTGACGACCAAACAAGGTGCCGTTGGTCCATCTCGCCTTCCTGGCTGGAGTCCACATGACTCGCCTTGTTCTTGGCTCGAGACTTTAAAGGGCATGGGTCGCAGTAGACACCAGTGGCGCGTCTGTTGCCGTCTCCTAATCGGATTACCTGTTTAAAGTGTGTTTGGTGCTGAGTTATCTGCGAGGTAATGGTTGATCATGACGCATGGCAGTGAAAGCCGAAAGGAAGCTGTCACGCCGATGCCGCCTTATCTTTGCACGATAGCCAGATGTTTGTGACGGTATGTTGTCTACACAAGGTGTAGGCGCCTTGACCCTGAATGTTTGCATAGGGCATTAAGGTTTTCAGGCAAGTCCCCCTTCTCTCCATCTTATTCTTTATTTCATAGGTCCTCATGGTTGTATGGCAGCGAAGCATCAGTTCAAATGGCTGATGTACTGCTGTTGATGATGATGCCCACTGTGTCGGAAAGCAGTGCTACTAAGAGACAACCGGTGCTCCGGACACAGTTGCAGCAGACGTTCGCCAGTGTCAGTCAGTTCGGAGTAATAAACAGTTACAACCCAGCTGTGTTTCTGAAGAGCTCAAAGGCCCTACTTTTGCGTTCATGTCCCCTGCAAATACTATGATAGCTGAACTAGTAAAACGTTCAGTTCGTGATAGGTGTCCTTGACAGCATTAGAACTGCAGTCAGTGGGAGCATAAGCGGAAAAGACAAAAAAGGTTTTGTACTACTTCGTGAATCAACCTTAATCAATGTGGTCAAACGAGATGCACACAAACGGTGGTTCACCGAAATCCAATGGAGCAACGATGGCTCGACCTTGGAACTTATAATGATGCCAACCCCAGCTTGACCCGCGAGTGCCGGGTGCAGTTAATTCAACAACCCCGTTAGGGTCATTATCCTAGTTTCGGACACACAGCATACGTCAACACCCGGCGTGTCCAAGGCGCGTGCGAGTGCAGCCTGTTGACCTGTTTGTCTTAGAGTGCGAACGTTAAACGCAGCAAGGAAAACGGGACAGCAAGGCGTTATAAGGGATTGTTGCCGATAGGCATCCGATAGGTGTTGTGCGGTGGCTGCAGATAGTTCTACTCCAAGACATTTTATATGCTGTCAATTAAGCTTGAAAATTACAGGTTAGTAATAGGGGTCAGGATGGGAGTAAGAGAAACAGATGGAAAATAAAGAAGGGAGGCGCCAGCAGTAGCGTGTTTTCGCTTATTCGCCCAGCTGTATGCGGCAGATAAGGCAACCCTTGATAATCTGCGCGATAGACGATGCAGGACGAAGTTTATGACTGAAGAAAATGTCATGGTTAAATGTGGACTGAGATACTGTCAGGGTGTCCAGACCTAGACAGGAGGAGTCCTCATCCAAAGTCTTTGGTTCAAAAACCTGTCCGCAAGGTAGCGGAGAGGTTGCAATGATTTAGGTTTACAGAAATGGACGCCATTCCATTTCAAAGCCCCCAACCTGGAGAACCAGGAGACTGAGTTTGTCTGACTAACCATTGACAAACTTGGTAGGAGTAGCTCACAAGGGACCCGAAGGCACCACCGAGTATATCTCAATGAGTCAAGGAGGAATGCAAACCGTCGCACCCCGTTAAAGTCCAGTCTCGTCGCGAAGGTCCAGTATTGTTGCGACTACTGCTCTGCCTGTTGTGGGGGACTGGGTACGCTCAGTCAATGAAACGTGGCTCCCATCCAAATGGCTTTCAGTCGTATTCCTTCAGGTTTACACTGAACATGGAGTGTGTGGATAGAGCTGTGATTGGTACAGTGCAAGTCACGCATGGTCCCACTGTAGGCGCAGGCGTCGTGTCGCTGTTCCCATGTAGGCCGCAGTGACAAATCCGGAACTGGATGTCGCCAACCAAAAACATCGCGTAAATAAAAAATAAAATAAATCGCCAGCTGTACGCCGTAACGGCGGTTCGCTGCCACGCGACCACCACCAGTTGAGCGTGGGCTGAGTACACTGCGAGGACACCCACCCCTATGTGGATTTCAACCGGTGACCTTATGGTAGCAAACTAGGCGCGCAGACTACTCGGCTACCGGCAGAAACATAACCCGCAGTGCAAAATTAGTCGTTTCAACGTTATTTGAGAATTGCGGGCACGAGATGTGTGCTGTTCAGCGGGACTGAGCTTAATGTAACAGGGTAATGAATAGCCGAGTAAGAAGTGAAATAAGGAGAACAATTCATAATTAATTACCTCGCTTGAGCTTTTGTGATGTAGTGGTATGCAAATACTCAGACTCGAGAAAGCAAGTCAGTGGTAAATCAAAAAACTGGCTTAAGTGACCCCTATATTAATTTCCTCAACAGGTATTAGGGTTATTAAACTGGAAGCAGCCTGTAGAGTGCCGCACGGAAAAAGTAAGTAGACTTGAATAACCGCACCGTTCAAGATCCAACGAACAAGGTTGAAAGTGCAGCTCACCGAGTCGTCAGCTTGGGAAGAAACATCAGAACCGGAAGTCATGCGTCCATCCGCCTCACCAGAGGGTGCTTGGAATTGTGGAAGCCAGCTACAGTCACTTTCGGTATTGCACTCATGAGCAACAGACGAAGCAGGAAGCGAAATCTCCTCATCAGAACTCTCACTATCAGTCTCGTTCAGTGTATCATAATGTAATTCCGCATATTCGCTGGTGCTGGCGTAAGAATCAGAGTCGCCACTAGAAGGATCTTGCGTTTGATTGTAAACAATGGGGGATGGATTTTCAACCATGCCGTTGCTGACAATTTCGGCCAATTCAAAGACTATGACACCTAGTCCAGAACCTTTCCAATCCGTAACGATGAGACGGCAATCCAAGCCACCACTAACAAGTTGCCAACTCCTGTGAGGACGGAAAACAGCCGCTGAGCAAATATTATCGTGTTTCTTCAACGTGCGAAGAATACTTCCCGAAGTTGTATTGATGATTTTTACTGCTCCAGTATCGTCAGCAGCAGCTAAACATGCCTCCGTTTCGAGGATATCAAGTGAATTCACTTCATCTTCGTTAACCTGGAACAAAATCTATCAAATAAACAGCGGCTTACGTTCCATTGGGAAAGTGGGTTACGCAGTTGTCTCAAATCCCACAAGCAAATGGTTTGACCGTGCGCGCTGAAGAGGGTATTTTGGTTGGAGGGGGTAAATTTAACCGCAGAGCAGGGTTCGGCAAGACAAGTGTAATGTACAGGAAAAGGTGATTGGTCTAAAGACCAGAAACATAGACTGCCATCTTCGCCTCCAGATGCTAGCAATCGGTCTGACAAGCTAAGTGCGTAAACGGAACTGGTGTGACCACGGCCCAAGGTGACAGTAGCAGCCGCCATTGGTGCAAAGAGCAAGCTAGATGGAACTTGTGCGATACTCCTTCAATGAAAGACTTCGAGTGCTAAAAGTGTAGAATGATACGCGATTCCTCAAGGAATCCCAAGATCTGTTAGCAGTCCAGCAGTTGGGCAAATCGAACTTACTTATCCCTGAATTCTGCAGCCGCTTCAATTTCTTTTAACTTTCCGGCGGCACCAACAATTCCAATGCAGACTAACACAAAGCAGAATATTGTCTGCAAAACAATCTACATATAAGAGCTTTAAAAAGCGGCACGAACGTCAGCTGGCAACGACTTGAACTCTTGCTCCGTCAGACGCAGATACGATCTATCTAAACAATACACATGATAAAAAATCATAAAAGAAGAACATTTCACTGGATAAGATTACTTACGCTGCGTTGCAGAATAAGCGGCATGCAGTAAACCCAAGAGGCCGAGATAGATGGACACGCGACACGACGAGAACATCTCAGGGTCACATAAGCGCACATTTCACCTTGAGGTCTAATGCACATAAACAAATCCCGTTTTAATACGCATCAGTGCATGCAAAAAATGAGACGCGATTGTTCAGCCTATGATTTTTTGCTTATGTTTTGCAGCCTCGGTACGTAGTTTACTGGAACATGGACTCCCAGTACTTTAGAAATACATAAGTTGCATCCTCTTCGCCGACGTTGGTGTAAACACAGAAGGTTAGTTCTGACAGCGGCATGGTTGGTTATCCGACAGGGAGTACTTTACTTATGGTTCTGTAATAAATCAGCGCATAAAGGAACGGCGTTTTATTTCATACACAAGCACAAGAAAGTGCGATGTTCAGTAGAGGTGGTGGAAATGTACAGGCTGTTTTAAATCAGCTCGGCTTCGGCTGGTACCAAATGCGGGTGATCATTTTCGTTGGCATCGCTCAGTCCACTGACACGATGGAGGCTGTGATTCAAGCGATTTTGGGTCCTACTCTCCGCTGCGAATGGAACCTTGATTCGGGCCAGATTGCATTACTTGGAACTATGGTGTTTTTAGGGGTGTGCATCGGTTCACCTCCTCTTGGCTATGTTTCGGATCATCTTGGAAGAAAAAATCTTAGTTTGCTCTGCTGCATTGCCTTTATATACATGACCTTGTTATGTGCCACTGCACCAACTTTTAACTGGCTTGCCGCTTTACTGTTCATATCCGGCCTGTATATAGGTGGTCTATTAACCGCCGGAGGTTCCTTGATTTCAGAATTTCTCCCAGAAAGTCACCAAGCAACTGGTCAGTTGCTCGTTTGTTTATTCGATGCCTGCTTGGGAATGTACATAGCTGGAATTGGTTTTTGTTGTCTCATCACCCATCTGAGCTGGAGAGTATTTCTGTTGCTTGCAACGCCGCCGTTAATTATATCAGCTACTGGGTTATCCTGTTTCCTCCATGAATCGCCTGTTTTACTTACCCATTGGGGTAGACGGGTTGAAGCAGCACAGGTTCTAGACGCAGTGGCCAAAGTGAACCACAGTATCCCTAGTTCCCAGGACCAAGCGTCTGGCGTTCCAAAGACTCCTTACAGTTTTGTCGGCCGGCTACATGACGGAGAAGCTGAAAAAGATAGGTTCTATTCATCCGGAGTTTTTGTTCTACTGAAACTATTTGTGAAGGCCTACCGACTCTCCACACCTTTATTAATGGCAATTAGTTTCATATGGGGTGTAATCATGTACGGTGGAACGACGTTGCTTCCCGTCGAAATGCCATTGACCGATCGGAAATGCATACAAGTGAGTCGTTTCTATGCTTGCGATTTCAGCAGCAATCCTCCAATCACTGTGTTTTTATGTTTGTTAACGAATCTTACCAGCGTCTAAGCAGTATTTGTTCAAAATCCCCATCATTAAATGAACCTCCATCAAATCGTCCGGTACGATTGCCTTGCGTAGTTGTCACACATACCACCGGTACTCATTAACGACTAGCACTTAAGTCTATTGGGTTTGTAAACTGTAGGTTATCACACTGAATACTTGCACGTTTCCGCGTCAACCCGCAGGCAGCACTCTTTTCTACCAATCAGAAAGCCAAAAATATTTCAACGTAATGCCGGATTTCTTTCGTACTCTTCTAGTAGAAATGTCAAACAAGCCATCGGAATGACAGCAGAAATAGCTGCTGTAGAAAACGACGTGCAACTAAACATCTAATTAAATAGCCAGTGGTGATGGTAAGGTAGCAACTTGATTTTTACCAAACGATTATCGTATGACGTGTAACATATTACAAAATGAGAGTTTCATTTTGTACCTGGGATATGTAGTTAGATTGTCTGTCGCATGTTTACTGCTTTTGTTAATATACACATCCGAGACGTGACCTGAACGCTTCCTCTGATCTCCCGGAATATTTTTCTTTTCACTCTTCTTAATTGCCCGTGTGCCTAGAGAGATTGGCCGTTTCAGGGATAAATGTATACCACGCCTAGTTGTATTTTACTTTTCCCATACCGTTATTGATTGTGCTAATATAGCGTTCGATTATCGATTCCACTAAATTACACGGAACTGTCTAACAACATGTTCAATGAGCTATGCCGACAGAAAAAACTTGGTTGTTTTGAGGCCGAGAGAAGCCATGCTAAACTAGGATATTCTTTAGGCATTTAGAATTCTGCTGGACTTGGTTTGTTTTCGGGAGTTTAAGCAACTCGTTGCTAATTCAGAATAAAGGAAGAATAGAAACACAACATTATATGCCACACCAAATTGCGAACCTCACTGTCAGCACCAACGAGTGCCCAGGAGCCAGATTTGGACTAACTTCGGGCGCTCGAGAATGGTCACTAGTATCATGACAGTACGTATATGTTTATTCTCCTAAACGAATATACGCACTATTTTACTACTTTCTCTTCTGCATACTCAGCTAGAAGCTTGTCAGGAAATGGGCTGTATGCCTCATATCTGCGACCCTGAAACCTGAACTTCCCATTGGATTACTTTTCTGTCCTCCATGGCCAATGAACTGTTCAAGACTCGAACTGGGTTCTCGCTAGCGACTGTACAATGCATGATATGCTAGCGTGCTGAAGAGGATAATTATCTACTTACGGCTGCAGGTGTGCGACATTTTGTTTCTTTAGGTCCGTCATCGACAAGTCCGACAAGTCCGTGTGCAGGTAGCATGTGTTGTGCGTTCATAAAACTGCATTTGCTAGCATCAACTTCGCACCATCGTAAGAAGCAACCTATGCTCCTGCAGGCGGTGCTACATCTGCCCTAGTCAGTAGGGAAAATAATGAATGTCGTGATATCTAGAAGCCGCACATTAAATCAAGTTGTAACGTAATGTTAACGAGCACTGTTTCTGTAGGCAGCGTTTTACGACCTTCCGAGCAAGTAGCATTCGAGGAAGCTTTCCACCATGGCTTTTTGACGGCAAACCTCTCAGTAGCGCAGATTCAGATCTCACTACGGGTCTAACCTTTTACTTCCTGTTGTATTCCACCTGTTACGTAACTTTTGGCCTTTTTGGGGGTCAGTGAGAGCAAATAGTGTGTGTCGTGGTTCATATCAACGTGGTACCGAATTCAGTGGGTGTATAGATCCTGTAGAAAGAGTAGTAAATTAAAAGGCTAAGGTAGGGAATCTTGTTCCTGAGAGCCCGAATTTAATTTCAAATATGACTAGTTTCGGCCGCTCAGTTGGCCCCATATTTCTCTGCGCGGGAAAAATTTAGCAAGCCGAGGAGTACGTTCGTACGGTCACCTGCATTAGTTATAGAATCGTTTTGAAAGCAACGGAAAATTGTTATCTGCAAATAGGGAATGCTGTGGCTGTTTGTTCCTCTACACTCGAAACGGAAAAATGGACTAGTTTCAGGCAGACGGAAGGGGTGCCATATGTACGTTCATGAGGATAATGTACGGTTTTGTAGCATACGCTCGCAAAGAACCATGCATTCGGAGTAGAAATGCAGTAGAAATAATTGCAAACTGATATCCACGGACGGCGTAATGTTGCTGCAATCTTTACCTGAGCGTACAAAATTCATCCCCTAAAGGACTACTCCCGAGCACTGAAGACTGCCCGAAATTGGTGTCACTAGAACCAATTTCGGGCACTCATCCGGCACATATCAATCATCTAACGGGCGCCTATCGGGCGTCGGTGCCGTTAAGGGTAGCAGAGACCAAAGAGTATTTGATTTTTTCTTACGGTCGTTGAGCCACTTATATGCTATTTTACTGCGGCTTTTTGCTTACACCTTAATGTTTTAACCCAGCAGTCCCTCTCCATTCTTCTGATTCGTTTCCGCTAAGCCATTCGTTCTGCTACACTGGTGAGTACAAATACTGCTTCGTCAGAGTTAGTTGTATTCATGGTCAGGTGATGTATTCACACATGACCACATCAGACACTGATGGAATGAATAATTATTGTAGCTAATATGTTGCTACGTTGGCCCGGTAATGTTGCACTTATGCATTATACACAGCGCATCATTTCCTATACGTATCTTCTCGATTATCTTGATGTACTTGAGGTCAAGAGGGAGCGCCGCGTTAATATGTGCCTAGCAACTCAACTATGCGTTCAAAGCAACACCAATGTCGCACACTCAGGGGGATGTAAAGACTTCGCAAACTTTTAGTTGTGCTACGTTGAAACACTCACGTCAGGCGTCACAACCGCGTGATCTCATTATGATTACGGAGACTTGGTGTTTTCTGGCGCATATCCTAATGTGGCGGATGTTAACTATAGTTAAGCACCGAGTTAAGATCTCTGTCAGAGGCGTTGTTAAAACATCTGTGCATTCTTTCCGAGCGACTACTACCTTGTTTGTCTTCATTCTGGTGAGCTCTTGGTGTACACCTATGGAATCGAATAAAGTGGGAAGCTCTGTGTTGATGATGGAAGGTAGGGGTAGTGTGTTAGGCGATGAGGAGCTGAACTCAGCGTTGAGTTCATGCAAATCCTCGGTGCTGAGCGATCTAGAGGGACACTTTCCGGAGAGTTGTCTTAGGGGACTCAACAGGACACTGCAACTCTGCTTGTCTAAAAACCTCTGAAGGTTCTGGAGGTTTAATCTTGTTATTTAAGTTTTTATAGCCAAGGACAGAGGTTTAGCACGGGATACTGATACTGGTAGTGATTAGAAGCAGCGAGTAGAGCATACTCTGGGTAGCTGTATCAGTTGTCGCTCTTGGACATTAACGTATTACTTATCGTTCCGCTATTTATATTTTGCCTCTGCAAAGTGTTTGTCTAGAAGCTTCTTAAATTTGGCCACTGAATTCGCCTCTATTACCGGCTGCGGCAGGTTGTTCCAAGTATTCACCACTCTACGTTCGAAACAGAGTTGGTGAGCTACCCGCTTCAAATGCGGTACGATAAGTTTGTACCGGTGTCCTCGCGTGCTGCTTAGTGTGCGCAGATGAAGCAGTTGTCTCAGCATGGGGTAATCACTCAGATGTAATATCCGGTGCGTCATGATTAGGTCAACCCTCAGCCGACGATATGCTAAGGTGTACAGCCCTAGTTTCTTACATCGGTCTTCATATGGTATACCTCGTAAGTTGGGAATCAGCCTGGTGGCTACATGCTGCACCCGCTTACGTTTATAAACCTGCACTTTCCCCTGCAGTTTCTTTAGCAACTTCGCAAATAGATTGTCTCGATGATACAACACAGATTACTAGTAAGAGGGAAAACGCAAGTCTCTCCATTTTGCTCTGTGTAAAAGGAATATAGGCAACGTGCGTCGAATCAAAAAGCGAGCTCTAGTGAAGCGCCTGAACATGTTGACACGCTCCCCACCTCTCTGGTTGGAGTTAAAAATAACGTTATTTCACATCAGCATCACCCACACAACCGTGCAGCAATTTGATCAGCGGAAAGCACCACAACCCTGCGTCGAGGAATGCTAGATCCTATGGCTTATATTCATGACGATGATAGGGCATCTCGCTGAAGTCACAAGTGACTTCCTTTGCATCGGTACTTACCAAAAGCTTCAATATAATCTACTAAAATTTTGTTCTTATTCGAACCTTCCAGTCATGAACCGTGTGGCAGTTGAAGATACGATAAATGTTCCATTTAGATATGTATTAATACTTGAACTTGTGTACATGCAATGGAATAAGACCTAGGAGCTAGTCTAACTGTTGGGTTCATAGTGTGCCTAACTGCGTATCATTGTTCAAGAAAGTCTGCGCACTTCGCTACAATGTTTGAGAGCTGCAAATGTGGTAAACTTGAACCTAAGGCTTCTGGGGCGAGTTCTTTTTGCCTTTGAGGGACGGCGGCTATCCTTGCGGATTAACTCATATATTCGTCCCCAGGTTGAGTTTATGATTCAGGCTTGGCGTCCATAGTTAAAACGAGACATTTGTCTCTTGCAACAACCCCTAAGACTTGACACTGAGGAAGCACGTGGAATATCCGGTCACAATTATGAAATGCACCTCCGTTGCATCGGTATGTGCTCTTCAGGATACAGACGGCTTCGAGGATACTAACAGAAAACCACCATCCATGTAAGTCACTGATGACCCTACATCCTAACGACCGATGCCGAAGTCACGAACTGAAACTAATAACTTAACACTCCCGTTTGGATGCTAGAAACATTTTACTCTCTTAACATTTGTTCACACTGGAATGCATTGCCAGCACATATGGCGAACACAACCAACATCGTGACATTCGTAAGACTATTGGACTTGCATCTAAATGATAAGCGTTACACATCAGTATGTTAAACTACAATGTATAAACTA